GACAATGAACAGGGTTGATGGTGCTATTATTACCTGTAGGCCAGTGTATACATGCTCAGGAAGGATTTTAGCACTGTTGGGTGGGGTGGGAAGGAAGTCTACATAGCCCTTATTGGATTAAGAGTAATAGAAGGTTTGATGGGGGCAGCATCTGGGTTATAGGGCCTTACAGGCGTGTGCATGAAAGCCCTGGGGACTGGCCCTGGGACAATTGTCAAGGTGATGGAGAAGAGGGGATATTTAGATTTTTGGCTTGTCATCACTTCTCAGCCTTTTGGCTAAGATCAAGTGTAGATTTTTGGCTTGTTTGGAGGGTTGTACAGATGGCACAGAAGAGAAATGAACAACTGTTAGACAAATTCTATTAGCTGTGTGTATTGTTGGGTAATAGTTTAACCCTGAGTGAGTCCTCTTGTGCAAACCACGGAAAAGATAGCAAATATGGATGTATTACATAACCCACACCTGTAGAACAGAGCAAGGGGTAAGTCACATCCATCTTAAACACGGAAACTTAGTTTCTTTGGGTGAGGTCTGAACATTCTTATTTCTCCAAGTTCTTCCCACAATTGTGATGCACAGTAAAGCTATTAAGCACTGCACTGGGGAACCAGCTCTACACTTAAGGTGAATTCATGTATCCTCCTCTGATTCAGTGCATGGGATGCCTCATTATTGTGTCTCCTGACCCTTTAAGACTTATTGTGTCTTATGACATCATGACTGTCTTCTTCCATTTCTTTTGTCTACTCTCCATCCCACTGTTTGCTGCTGACCCTTGGGTTTTGGTTGCAAACAGCCGTCTTATCAGCTTCCTCTGGGTTTGGGCCCTATACCAGCCCAGGAGACTGGCACATGAAGGGTGAGGTGGTGGAATTTATCTTCCTTGCTGTATTCTGACAGTGTCCCTGGGCTTAAGGTCATGCTTGTCTCTGGCTGACTCTACACAGCTGTCCTCCTTGGGCTTCCACCAACAAAGCCTTATAATGCCTGCAGGCCTGAGTGCCCAATGGCTGGACTTCAACTTGCTCAGGTTACTGCCTGTGTTCATTTCCTATTGCTGTTCTAATAAATCCATAAATGCGATTCCTTCACACAGTACAGATTTATTATTGTACGTTTCTGGAAGATGAGCCCAAAATGGGTCTCTGAATTAATGACCCACCAGAGCTGGTTCCTGCAGGCTCCTTATGTCTTTTCCAATCTCTGGCATCCAGCTGCATCCACAGGTAGCAGACTTTTCATCTTCAAGGGTATCAAGAGGTATCTTCTCTCCCCTCCGATGGCTGCTACTGTCATCAGATCTCCTTCTCTGACTTCCCTGCCCTTATGATTATATTGACCCTACATGGCTAATCTAGATAGTCTCCCACCTCAGAATCATTAGATGTGGACACTACTGGGGTATTGGAAGAAGCATGGAATAAGCAACTGGAGAGTATAAATCTGTTTTCTATCCCTGGCTCTGTCACTCACCTGATTTCTTGGAGCACCAACTTCTGGAACTGTAGAATGGGTGGCCTCTATGCCACTATTCCTTGGTGGACTTTGAATGCATTTCCCAGTGTTGCAACCTGCACACCATAGGGTCCAAAGCCAGGGAGAGTGGTTGGAGATGAAGAAAAAAATGGAAAATAACAAGAAAGATACATACCAAGATTAAGCTTTATAGCTGGGACCAGGTGGGACCATAGCCTGATGAGCTAATGGCCACCTGGTGTCCAGTGTGCTGTTTATTTATAGTGTAGGAAGGTGGGGTAACTAGTGCCATGTGCCCCATGTGGCCTAGGCTGAACATGATTATCTCAAGATTGGGGCATGTGCAAAAAAGGAACAAGGATACATAATGTAACTGTCTCCTGGGGCTTTGCCATCCAGGATCTACAATCTTAGTCAAACAGACTATGTCTGTTTTGTCTGTTTGACTCTCTAATCTATGGAGGAGAAAGGGAATAGGGATCAGGGAAAAGATCATCATCAGGCTTGGTCCACAGCACCCCAGGACTGCAGGAGAACACTGGAGTATGCAGTTGTGCTGGGTGCCTTTGAGTCTATGATCCATACCAACATGCTCTAAATCCCACCCTCTGCCTGTACCTCTTCCTGTTGCATTGTAACATCCATATTCCCTACAAAATGCATGTTGTGTCCAGAGAGAAACCCCTCCCTGTGGGTTTCCAATTAGCCCATCCAATTAGAAGTCTAGCCCAAATAACTGTCTAACTGACCACAGGCTCAAGGAACTAACCCTAGGTTGCCTGAGTACCCATCCCTCATTCTCACTCCTCTCCCGACCTGGGAACTACTCTATTCCCAGTTTTCCCCTGTCCTCTTCCTTCCTGATATCAACATATCATCTTCTTTTTCTCCAGCTTCCCAGGGACTCAGTCAACAAATATTTATGGACTATATTTGACTATATGCCACAATTTAATAGTAATGGAAAACACCCAAGATTTCTCTTCTCAGAAAATCCCTGTGTGAGAGACATGCACTGTATCCTTGTCACATGGAGGGATGGATGTCATTACCCTCTGACTCAGGTAGTGTAAAGTAAGCACTCCATTCAAATGGAAGTAGTGCACCCAGTAAGGCAACCTGAACCGCGCTCTGGAAGGCTTCCTGAAGAAGTGAAACTGGAACAGAGGTATGAACGCCAAGTGGGAGTACATTAAGGCCATCTTATCCCTAGCTAATACAGCCTTCCATGCAATCAGAACTTGGGGGCTATAGCATGGACCAAGGGAAACAGCATGCATCTATCACCCCTGCTCTATACTTTCATGATAAGTAATGGTCTCTTTACACACCTCCAGGGGGAAACAATACTACCCTGTCCAGCCTAGGCCGAAGTAGCCTGCCAAACCCCAGTCCCCTCTCCTCACTGAGAGAATTTCATTTGTACCCTGCAAGAATATGGGGGTCCTCCACCAGCACAGGGATGGCTATAGAGTACAGTCCTTCTGCATCCTTCTGAAGGGCAAGTTCAATGAAGCCAAGCTATTAGAACACAACTATTAAGTGTATGAAGCGATCGTTAGTAAACTCTTTTCACCACCCGGAAGATAGGAGCCCTTTCTGAAATGCACACAAGGACAGTGTCCTGGCACACGTTTAATGGTATACAGTGATCGTGAAAATCGGATTCATGGGCTGGGGATTGAGCTCAGAGGTTCCGCCACCTGCCTGAACAGCACAAGGTCCCGGGTTTGATCCCCAGTACGACCCCCAAAAAAGAAAATAGGATTCATAAAGTGTTGACAAAGAATTTCTCTTCTAACCCACAGTCTGAACTCCCTAAGGTCATGCACTCATGTATTATTTACCAAATTGTTCCTGAGTAAGGCACCATAAGAAAACAGTTTTAAAGAAAAAAAATTGAATTAAGTTTATCGGTACACTTTAGATATACCTAATGAGAACATTCATCGTATGGAATTTGTACCTGTACGTGATATATATTCCCCTCCTCTACCTTCAATCCTTCCCCTCCTATTTACAAAAGCTTTGTTTATATTTTATCTTTATTTTCTTTTTTCCCTTCCTTTACCTGTCTTTCTTTCCCCTTCCCCCTCCCTAGTGCCCCTTCCAATTTGAACTTTTTCTTCCTATTGCAAATTATCTATTATACATTTTGGCCCTTTTTACACTTTGTTTCTCACGCCAGAGAAACAATGCGATATTTACACGTATGTCTGATTTAATTCACTTAACCCTAAGAACACATTCCCAGAAGCTGTGTATGAGGCTTACAAAGAAGATATTCTTTTGAGGTTTTGAATGCCTAAAAATGCCATTATTCTCACCTCAAATGTGATCAATCTATTTGTAAACAAGGAATTCCACATTAGAAATAACTGGGCCCAGCCAGGGTCACGCCGGTGTTCCCAGGTGCTCAGCAGACTGAGGCACAAGGATCCCAAGTTCAAAGCCAGAACTTGTGAAGATGTTGTCCAATAAATAAATACATTTTTTAAAGGAGGAAAAAGAAAAGAAAATCTTGGTCCTCAGAATTTTGACTCTTTGTTGTTGCTTTTACAAGTTCTAATGTCAGCTTGCTATACGGGCTCTTTGTTGTCCCTGGAAAATTCTATCACCTTTCCTTGGGTGCACTTGTATTTCATCATATACCCTGGCCTGGGCTTCATTCAAAAAATTTATATCCTTGAGCTGTATGGAATTGTCCTAGGTTATGTCTTTAGATGATCTCCTCCCACATGTTCCTCCCACTCCTATTTTTCTCCCGTTGCATTTGTCAAGTGTTGAGGCTTCTGCACTAATTTTCTAACCTTTTATCTTTATTCTCCTATTCTTCACTCTTTACCCGTAAATTGGTATATTTTGCAAAATTTCTTAACTGCTATCTTTTTGTTGTAGCTTTGAGCTCTTCTCCACTCGGTTCTTTTGATTGTGCCTCTAACTGCATCTTCCCTGTGGTGATACCTAGAAGAAACAGTAACCCTATAAATTTTCAGTAGCGTTCCTGGGTCATTCCCCAAAGGGACCTGACCTCTCCTTCAATTAAGGAGTTCTGGGCTGTAAACTGGCTCAATTAGAGGAACTGATTGAGCAGCTGTCAATCAGTGGATGTTTGAGTCGTTTTGTTCACGAGATGTAAAATTCTGTGATTTTCCAGATCAAGTGGGAATAGACGAGGTTTCCCATGTTTTTCAGTACAATGTCTTATAGTTTAAAAATTCCTACATAACTCCATTTTTTTCACATTTCACGAAATCACGGTAATTTTTCTTAATATTCCCAAAGGCTTATGGAAAATGTGACATTCTGATCGGGGCTCCTTTACTCTGGCGGTAGAATCAGGCTCCACTGGCAGCTTTGAGGGCTGGACCCACTTCCACCCACCCCCTTCGAAGGCCCCAAAATGGAAACGGCCAGGACCCAGCGCCTTCAAGGTAGGGGAGTCCAGAGTGGGTCTGACTCACTGCGCAGCCTCCTGCACCCGGCCGCTGGGCTCCTGCTACGCATGCGTGCGGCGGTAGCCTCACCCACTCCTCAGGCCTCTCAGCCGGGCCAAGCGGCTGAGGCAGCTGTGGGTTCTGCAAGTACCCAGTGCGGACCCTGGTGAGAGCGCGGTGTGCGGCCGGGGCGGGGGGCGCTAGTGCCTGGGGGCTGAGAGGAGAGCTCCCGGGGTTTCACCGCACCCGGGCTTAGGCTAATGCGCTGTGCTCTGGGGAACCTGATCGGGTGTAGGGACCACAACGCGGGTCGGGCCGTGCCTCCCTCAGAGTGGACAGTGGGCGGGACCTGGAGCCGCGGTCGGTGACCTCCCTCTGGCAGATACTCGGCGCAGGCCGGGGTCGAGGCCGCTGACCCCCACCTATTAGCCGTGAGCGGGGTTGTGGGGAAACCCAATCCTAGCTCATATGACTGTGAGCGGATGACCTGGTGAGAATCCGGGCTCTCACGAGGTTTGTAATAATGACGGCTTCACGGGCTTGTTTTGAAACTGAGATATGTCATCCCTGTAGAGCCCCCAGCCGAGTGCAGGTTATCAAGCTCTGAGGAAATGACACCTGTTAGTATGTTCAGCAGACACCTTGCTCTTTGAGTTGCATGACTTACATAAACCTCACATCACTCTGTGAAGTTGGCTTTTCCATCTGCGCTACAAAAACCAGCGGAGGCTCAGGTTGGTGGACAGGTGTGCTCAGGTCACAAGCCAGTGTGAGGGAGCTCTGACTCAAGGTCAGGTGTGTGATTTGCTTCCAGTCTCAGGTACTAATATCATACCTGTCTAAAACCAATATTGTATCCTTCACAGCACCGACCAGAGTGACCTGTCTCCAACTGCACAGGGATAGAATGGGAAGCAGATGTAGATGAGAACTTGACATGTGTCACATACACAGGGGCAACCTGGGTCTCTTCAGATCCCTTAACTGGGGCTCTTGGTCCCTTCTGCACTCTCAGGCTCTCTTGGGTCTAATATTATAATGAACTCCAGAAGTCAAGTTTTTGCCCCTAAAATGAATTTGTTTTTCAGGTTCAGGTCCAGGTCCCAACTCCTGGAAACAAAGCAGCCCTTGTGAAGCGGGCAGCAAGGAGCTTTGCTTGGAAGAGAACACCTCTCTGGCCTTGGACCTCTCTCCAGCACTCCCGAGCAGAGAGAAGAGCCCTTATTTGCATGGTTGGAAGCTGCTTCTGCAGCTTCTGCCCAGGATGAGCTAGATTTGGTGACAGTGGCACCTCCAGAAGCCACCATAGACTGTGACAGTAGAGAAAATAGCAGGGTGAGTTAGGGAGGGCCAGTGACTGGTTGCCGAAGAAAGACCACTTCATCACAGAGGTCTGAGGGGGGTGTGCAGGTGAGGGGTGAGGAGCCTGGCTGGGAAACCTGTTACTCTGCTGTTGCTTGGCAGCCCCAGGCCCTTTGCTCTCCAGGCTGGCAGCTGCTGCACTGCTCTCATAGGTGATCAGCACATGGGACACAAGGGATTTTATGGTGGCTTCACAGAATCTGAGAATGATGATACACATACAGTTTTCCAAAGTTACTTATTTCTGAGTCTGGAAACTTGAAAAATGTTGGATGTGAAAGGTCCGGGGACTTTCTGAGGGATAGGCAGGTAGTGACAATGTCAGGAGGGAAACAGTGACTTCAGTCACAGCTGAGTCCACCAAGAGCATCTCATTCACAGGGCTTCTTGAGAAATACAACCAGTTAAAACAAACAAAAATCTTTGCCTTAAAGCCTCTCATCCCCTTTCTTAGGCTTTCTGTGGATTGTATCAAGGGGTAAACACTACACTAAGAGAAGCAGATGAATGACACACATGGAATATTTTTCTGCTAAGTTAGCCTTAGTGAGGGAATAGTGCTTGATGCTTTGGTATACTTTAATTGAACTAGTCCTTTGTTTGTCATTTATTTATCTTTGTTAGCAGGACATATGCTGAGAAATTTGTGTTTACTTACTTAAAAAACTACAGCTTTCAGCTCCACGAATTTTGCAGAGTTGCATAGGGACAGGTGATGCCACCTGCACATGATCCTTCTCATGCCGTTTCAAGGCCTGAAGGTCTCTATTCCTTTGGCCACCTTCCCGGATTAGTTGTTGAGATTTGGGGAAGTAAATCTGGGAGCTGTGAAGCAGGCAGATCTCATGACCCTGACCTCTTTTTGTTCCTCCAGCTGAACCTCCATGGTTCTCTACCCTGTGCCACAGAACATGAACACAACTCAGGTGAGTTCTCCTCATTCTCCATTTCTGTGGAGTTAGGAGCGTGGAGGAGTCTATGCAGTAAATGAAAAAGGGGAAATTGAAATAGAATCAATTTTGAGGGTAAATGCAGTTTTACCATGAACTCTAAAGTTTGCTGTTAGGTCTGCATAGACAGCCTTTATCAGGGTAAGTAGATTCCCTCCAGTTACCAGTTTGCCAAGATTTTTTGGCCATTAATATGTATTGAATTATATTGAATACTTTTGTATATCTCCCGGTGAGAGACTATAGCTGTTTCCTTTATTGCAAATAATATACTGGATTTTCTAATATTGTCTTGAATTGTTACATAGGCCCTAGTTGCTAATGCATGTGGAGAATTGCTTTTTACATATTTTCCTAGGACTTTTTGCTAATACATTAGGATTTAATTTCTGTTCACATAAGTTGGAATAGACTGTTCTTTCTTGTTCCCCTGCCATACTGTGTTATCATATTTATATTCTCATAAAAGGAAAAGGAACAGTTTTATGTTCCTTTTCTAATAATTTAGAAAAATGAGAAAACTTTGTTATATAGTATATACAATTTGTGAAATTCACATTAGAATGACTCTACATGTAAAGATCTTAATTACTGAACCAGTGTATTAGTCAACTAATTAGTATATCAATCCTGTAGTAGATTTGTGTCATATTAGTATAGTTTTTATCATTACAATTTTATAGATATTTCATTTTTATGTATATTTTAAATAAGTATTTTCACAAGCTTTTTAATAGTATTCTTTTAGAATGTCAAAGACTTTATTTCCTCTACTGTGTTAGTAATTACTTTTCTTTTTGTTTTTTGGGGTTTTTTTGGTTTTTGAGACAGGGACTTGCTGTGTAGTTCATTCTGGCCTTGAACTCACTATGTAGCCCAGGCTGGCCTCGAACTGGCATCTATCCTCCTGCCTCAGCCCTCGAGTGGCAGGATTATAGGTGTGTGCCACCACACCCAGGAGTGATTCCTTTTTTAACCAGCTTTTAAATGTTATTCTGGTATAAAAGTTGCTGATCAGAAAAGGACCAGATATATTGTAGTTAAACATAAAATTTTAGAGTGAAAAGGCCTCTGCCATTTTTCCTGGCAGAATCTCTAAATATTGGGAATAGATGAACATACACCTGCAGTATCTGTGGTCTCCAGTTTAGATGCCGATCTATCAGCACGATTTGAGGAAAGCAAAGTACTCTTATTCCTGAATTACCTTGGCACTATTGGGAGTATTGATTAACTGCATATGTATGGGTCTATTTCTGCACTCTCTTCATTGCTGATGATTTGAGTTTATTGTTTTGCTAATACCACACTGCTTTGACAAGCATCTCTCCACAGTAAGTCTTGAAAGTAAGTTGTGTGTTTGTCAATTTTGTTTGTCTTTAACAGTTCTGGATATTCTAAATCCTTTTGCAGTTTTTCCTTAAGCAACTTAAGTATCTTGAAAGAGCTCACTGAGATTTTGATTTTGATATTGCACTGAATCTGTTGAGTCTAATGTATAAGTCAATTTTGTGAGAATTAACATCTTGATCATTTTGGGTGTTTCAATTTATGAACATTGTATATCTGTTTCAGGAGTCTGAGGTGAGAAAGGATAGTTCTACAAACAACTCTTTTTTGGGGGTGAGGGGTAGTAGGGATTGAACTCAGGACCTTGGGGTTGCGAGGCAGGCGGTGGAACAACTGAGCTAAATCACTGCCCCCTTACAAACAACTCTTAAAAGAATCACTTCTGTTTTCTTTGCTGTACTGGAGATTGAACCCAGGGAAGCTTTACCACTGAGCTACACCCCTAACTTTGTTTCCTTTTCATTTTGAGATAGAGTCCTGCTAAGTTGCCCAGCCTGGCCACAAACCTGTGATACTCCTGCCTCAGTCTCCTGATTAGCTGGGATTACCATTGTGAGCTGCTGCCCCTGGGTATCTAGTCTCTGATGATATACTCTAGAGAGGTAATGATGGAAGAAGGAACAATATAAGAGGCTATTTGAGTAATCCCAGCGAGAAATGATATAGCCATGTTAGCAGTTACTTTGCAGCTATTAGATTTTGGATGTATTTTAAGGCAGAGACAACAGTGTAAGTGTGTGAGATTCTTTCCCAAAACCTTGTAAAAAGAATAGGCTGTCAGACTTTTAAAATTTTAACAGTGTGATTAAATTATATTTCCGTTTACTTTTATAAGCTTTTCTCATGAGTGAGGTGGGATGTGTGTATTTGGTTTATTTGTATTTTTAAAATTGAACTGTTCATCCCATGCCCCTCTCATGTTAACGTGCAGATCTTTTCAGTATCCTATCCAGTATATCTTTATAGCTCTTTTTCCGTCAAATAGATGATACTATTTTCTAGAATTTTTTCTTCTTAGTTACTTTTTGCTATAAAGATATTTGACTTTTGTGTTGCCAAATTTCAGCAGTTTTTTCCTTCTTTTATGATTCCTGGATTCTGACTTTGTCAAGTCTTTTCCACTCTTAACACTGAAAAGAAATAGTCATTGTAGTCTTCGAGAACATGATTGGTTGTATTGGTTGTATATATTTTATAGTATACATTGAATACTTTTTTATAGTATCCTACTTGTCTTAGTTACTTTTATCATTGCTGAGACAGAATACGTGAAGCCCAAAGTTATAGGAGATAAGGTTTATTTTTGGCTCACAGTTTGTAGAGGTTTCAGTCCATAATCAGCTGGCACCAAGGCAGGGAGCATGCAGAAGAGCATCGAAGAGCAGGAAAGAGGCAGCAGCAGCAAGCTTCTTCTGTCCCTTATACTCCATCCAGGCCACCTGCCCTTCAGACAGGTAGCACACACACCCAGGATGGGGTTAGCCTTAATCCTCACATCATATCCTTCATCCCAGCATCATACACACTAAATTCAGCCACCACCGAAAAGCTCCACCTATGACCACATGAAGCCTTGGGGGCACATCTAGTTATAAGTTGTAACACTGCTGTATAGTGTGAGGTATAGACCTGCCTTTCCTCAAATGGCTGTGTCATTAACCCTACTATAGCTGTGTCCAGCCTTTCCTCACTCATTTACGTGTTACTTATTGTATTCAGATAGGAAATCATAGATATTTGTGTCCAGTTAGAACTTCCTCTTCTGTTCCTTAAGTCAGTACATTTTATCTTGTATGAAGTTCATACTGGTTTAATTATTGAGATGTTATAAAAGATTAAAATGTCCACTAGGACAGCTCTATAAATTTGCTGTTATTTAATACTTTCTACCTACATTTTCATCTTTACCTTTCTCTAGGAATTTTTAAGCCAAGGTAAGAAAAATGAATCAATACATAGATAGAAAGGTTAGCACAATGAGCTTAATTAGAAAATAGAATCTTTCTCAATTTGGTAAGTAGTATCTTTTAAGAAAAAGCCTACTCTGAAGTTTTTCTTTATAACTTAATATGGAAAACTTTTCCCCTGATATTGAAAATATTGTACTAGAAATCTTGACTAGTGGTACAGAGAAAGAAAAAGAAAGTACAAAGTTTGGAAGGGAAGAATTAGAACTCCTTTGATTTTTAGAAGTGACAGGATGGCATATATAGAAAATCAAGAAGAATTTACAGGTAAACTATTAGAAATAACAAAAAATGTTAGCAATTAGCTGGTTACAGAGCCAGTATAAAATAATAGAATTCATATTTATATCTCATAACATAATCATAAGGTAAAATTTTATATTTTGTTACCTTCTATAGAATCGTCATAAAGCTTCAAATACAAGAATAACTCTGTGCTTCTCCCTTCGGCAGCCCTGAGCTCGTAATGCACATCCCCTGATGTTAGTATAGAGCTCTTCTCATGAAGATTCCCTGCAGGTGTCATTCCTGCAGTGAGGGACCTTCCTCAGGTCTTCAGTTGTGCACTCTAACCCCAGCACACTGTGATTCTACATCATGTTTAATTTGAGGCTTGGTCTACCATCACTTCCTGGTGGCTCATCAGTGCCCTGTCCCTCAGCCCACTCCTGTATTTATGTTAGATCATAGGCAGCATTGCCCTGTTTTTGTTAGCTAATACAGGCCTACACAGACTCTCTCCATAGTCTCCACCTTTTTTTTCTGAGAAGCTTGCCTCTGTTCCTCTGTTGTTACACATTTACAGTGGGCATTATATTTGAACTAAGTATGTTTTAGGAGCAAGGGCATAGAAATGTATGTGGTCAGTTTGTTATCTTTAAATAGAAGAATCTGTTCTTGCATTTCTGGTTTCCCTTAATTTCCAGTAGTGTGTCTGATTTCTCTTTCTGTCACGTCCTGTTCTTTTCTGCCCACCTCTTAAGTATTGCTGCTCCTTTAAATTCTGCACTTGTTCCTTTCTTTCCTCAGTTTCTGTGTCCTGTGGTAGCCAGCTCTTCTTTCTCTGGTGACTTCAGTGGCCATCTTAATGACTGCTATTTTTTAGATCTGTATTTGCACTTTAAACCTCTTTTTTCTCTCCAAAAATAATGAAACCAAATGTGGGGCAGATGAGTGCATCTTTATATCCCACAAATGTTTTGAGTGCCAACAAAGAATACTTGCTGTGACCCTGTGCCAAACCCCTTCCCCTCACTTATTTTTCCCATCTCTATGTGTGGTGCCAGTAACTACCCGGGCTTCTCACACAGCTTCCCCGTGTTTAACTGCACCAGAAAGCGATGACCAAAGTTTGTTTCCAGTAAGAATAAGCTTTCCGTTCTTCGCTGTCATTGCACCTTAATGTACATTAGGGTTTTGGTTTTGCTACTGACATCCAGTATTCACACAGAACAGTGGCTCCTGATGGGGAAGTTTTGCTCCCTAGGAGACACCTGAGAGCCTTTGGAGATAGATTTGTGTTGTCACAACTGGCACATTACTGGCATCTAATGGATAGAAAACAGACACTGCTGTTAAACATGGTAAAAATGCAGGGGGTCGGGGATTTAGCTCAGTGGTTCAGCCACCTGCCTCGCAAGCACAAGGTCCCGAGTTTGATCTCTGGCACCCAAAAAAAAAAAGGTAAAATACAGAGGATAGTCTTTGAACAAAAACAATTGTCTGTTTTACAGTGGTGAGTTGCCACATTGAACAAACTGTCCATTCTAGAGCACTCCTCCTGGAGGCAAATCTGGTGTATGTAATACCCTCAGGCTTTCATTAACCCAAGTTGCAGTGTATATTTTACAGACTTTTCAGCAGAACTCATTGATGTATGGGAAATGTATATCAGAATCCTATTTGTAATAATTCTGCATAAGAAAAGAAGGCATTAACAGTTTCACAGCGGGGTCGTAATCCATATGTCTCACTGCCCAGCAATTTGAACCAGCAGTGGTACATCCATACTGTCCCATGCGTGACTGTACCACTTCTACCACCAGTGGTATAGGCCACCCGATGGGACAATCTTGCATGCACCACTGGTGGTTCAAGGGGGTGGAAATGTGTTAAGGTTTCTCCGTATGTTAAATGATAACACATGTGTATATATAATGTAAAAATAAGTAAGTCAGAGCATGAAAATTACATTTGTCCTGGTTTTGTATCTCCAAAGAAGACAGATTTAGGATTATGAGGGGAATCTTTTATAGCACTCTATGATAATCTCCCAGGAGTGAACATAATGAGAGTTAGTTTCCAAAAATATTTTTCAGTCCCTCATTCTGAACTATTGGAATGATGAGAAATGTGTGTTACAGGCGTCAGTGTCACTGGAGGATGTGACTGTGGAGCTCACCTGGGAGGAGTGGCAGCTCATGGTCCCTGCTCAGAGAACCCTGTACAGAGATGTGATGCTGGAGACCTACAGCCACCTCGTCTCCGTGGGTGAGCAGACCTGACCCCGTGACTCCCTCCACAGTACAATCCTGTTACTTCTTTTTTCTTGTTTTATTATTAGTCAGTTTTGTTGAGGTGTGTTTAACAGAAATAAAAATTAACACCTTTCAGTGTACAAGTCAGTGAGTTTTAGAAATTGTTCACCCTTGATTACAGCCATCAACATCAAGATTTGGAATATTTCTGTCACTCCCTAAAGATGTTTTTGTAGCCCTTCCAGTGAGTCCTCTCCCTTGGTCACTACCCCCTTGTCTCTTGCCGCCCACTAATCTGCTTCTGTTCTAATAATTTTTCCTTTCCTCTCATTTCATTTAAACAGAACCCAAACTATATTCTCTTGTCTGGCTTCTTTCATTTAGCATATTTTTGCGATGCATTTACATGTTTGTACAAAATAGCAGTTTATTCTTTTTTATGTTGAGTACTCCTTTGGTGCATGTAACCACAATTTGTTATCCTTATCACTTGGTAGATATATTAACGAGACCTATTAGCATTAAAGCTACTGTGAACATTCAAGTACAGATCTTTGTGTCCACATGTGTTTTCGTTTTTTGTGTAAATTCTTGGGAGTGGATTTGCCTGGTATTATGGTGACGTTATATGTAACATTTTAACAGATTGTTGAATGTTTTCAAACTGGTTGTGCTGCTTTTAGTGCTCATAAACAGTGTCAGTTCTTACTGCTCTTTGGTCACCAGCATTCAGTAAGTTGTTATTTTTAAACATTCTGGCTGTTGTCTGGTTGTATTTTAGTCGATTGTAACTTGCATTTATCTACTAACAGTGGTGAACCTGTTTTAATGTACTTTTTAGTCATTCATGAATCTCTAATGGCCAGGTACTTACTTCTTAGTTTAAGCCCAGCGTGGCAATTCAGAGAGTTAGTAAGACCCTGTCTCAAACAAAAAATTAAAAAAATAAAAAGGACAAGGGTATAGCTCAGTGTGAAATCTCTGGGTTCAGTGTCCAGTACAGAAAAAGAAAACAAAATAAAACTTGAATAAAGGATCTGACCAGATCTTCAGATCATGCTTTCTTTATAGACCTTTGGGTTTTGTATTGTTGAGTTGAAATTCATAGCTTTATTAAGCATGTTTTGCATCCTTTTTCTCTCCATCTCCATCTTGCTTTTTTAAGAAGAAAATTTTTATTTCAATTTTTATTTTTTTAATATACATTTTTTTGAACAGGGCCTCACTATGTACTCTAGCCTGACCTTAAACTTGTTATGTATCCCAGGCTAGCCTTAAACTTGGGGCAATCCTCCTGCCTCAGTCTAGTGAGTTTTGGGATTGCAGACATATGCCACCATGCCTGGCAATATTATATATACTTTTAAAAAACCTTTTGTTTTAATTGATAGGTCATAATTTTTCAAGATTTGGGGGCACAATGTGATGTTTCCGTATGTATATAGTGTACATTGTGTAATGATCAAATCAGTGTAATTAGCATATCTTTTACCTCAGATGTTTTGGAGAAATACTGATAATCCTGTCCTAGCCATTTTGATGTATACAATAGTTTTTGTTTGTTTGTTTTACATTACTGGGTATTGACTCCAGGGAGCCCTGTGCTACATTTCCAGCACTTTATATTTTTTTATTTGAGACAGGTCCCCAGATTGGGCTCAGACTTGCAGCCTTCATGTCTCAACCTCCCTAAGTGCTGGGGTCACAGGTGTGCACCATCATGCCTGCCTGAAATATGTTATTATTGGTTGTAATCACTCTATTGTACAATAGAACTCCAGAACTTAGTCCTCTTTTCTAACTGAATATTTGTACCTGTCTCCTAATCCCCCACTGCCCCTTTTCCAGCCTCTGCAACCCATTATTCTCTCAAATTCTATCAGATTTACTTTTTTTAGATTCCATATATATGTGAGTGTATATGATATTTTTCTTTCTACTCATGGCCTATTTCACTTAGCAAAATGTCCTCCAGGTCTATTCACGGTGTTGTGGATGGTACAGTTTCATCCTTCTGGCTTAAAATGGCTTAAAATCATCCCATTGGGTCTATAAACCACATTTTCTTCATCCATTCATCTGTCAATGCACACTTAGTTTGATTCCATAAATTGGCTGTTGTGAAGAGTGCTACAGTAAACATGGGAGTGCGTATATGTCTTCACCATACTGATTTCATTTTCTTTGCTTATATACAAAGTAATGGAATTGCTGTGTTACATGGTAGTTTTATTTTTTATGTTTGGGGGGACGTCCATACTGTTTTCCACAATGGCTGTACTAATTGACATTCCTTCCAAGAGTGGACAAGGGCTCCCTTTTCTACATATTCTCACCAATACATTATCTTTTATCTAGACAATAGTAGCTATCCTAAGAAGTGTAACATTGTATCGTAGTTTTAATTTGCATTTCCATGATGACTGGAGATGTTGAGCATTTCTTCACATACTAGCTGGTCTTTTTTTTTTTGAAAAAAGGAATCCAATTTTTAAAAAATAAAATTTCATAATCTAATAAAAGAATAACAGTAGTTTTTACACTATGTATTATCTTCAAAATAGTCAGTGCATGACATAAACAGAAAAGACTCTTACAAAAAGAGAAACAATAAATCTTTCTAAGATAAACTAGTTGTATAAATGAAAAAACAGCATACATATTGAAATATTTTTTAAACAATAGAATTTATAATTTGGATATTTGAACTTCTCCATATTTCCTATCTACCTCTCTTCTATTTTGTACTTTGTGTTTCTCATGTAAGAGAAAACATGCAGTATTTGAGCTTTTGTGTCTGACTTATTTCACTTAACATTATGTTCTCCATTTAAACAACGAATGCCTCAAGTTTTATCTTTATGGCAGCATAGTACTCCATTGTGTATAAATACCACATTTTCTGCATCCATTCTTCTGCTGATGGACATATATGCTCATTCCATGATATAGCTATTATAAATTGTGCTTCTGTAAACATGGGTATGCAATTATCCCTGTAATATAATGATTTTTTGCGAAGATACCTAGGAGGGGGCTAGCTGAGTCAAGTGGAATTTCTATTTTTAGCTTTTAAATTTTTTGTACTGGGGATCAAACTTTGGACCTCGTGCTTGCGAGGCAGGCTATGGAACCACTGAGCTAAATCCCTGGCCCTATTTTTAGCTTTTTGAGGCATCTCCACACTGATTTCCGTAGTGGTTGTACTAGTTACATTCTGACCAAGAATGTAGTAGAGTTCCTTTTTCCCTACATCTTCACCAGCATTGATAATTATTAGATTTTTTGTTGTTAGCCATTATTTCAGGAAGTAGAGTGCTATCTCATTGTAGTTTTAATTTCCATTTCTCTAATGGCCAGCAATGATGAGCATTTTCTCATGTATTGGTCATTTGTAATTGTGAGAACTGTCGGTTTGTATATTTTGGTACCAGTCCTAGTTCTTTGAGGTATCTCCATACTGATTTCCACAGTGGTTGCACCAGTCTATACTCCCACCAGCAGTGGAGCAGGGTTCCTCTTTCCCCACAGCCCCGCCAGCATTTGTTATTGGTTGATTTCA